GGACTATAAAGAAAGCTGAGTGCCAAAGAATTGGTGCTTTTGAACTGTGGTGTTGGAGAAGACTCTTGAGAGTCCCTTGGACTGCAAGGAGATCCAACCAGTCCATCTTAAAGGAGATCAGTCCTGAATATTCATTGGAAGGACTGATGCTGAAACTCCAATACTTTGGCCACCTGATGCAAAGAACTGACTCACTGGAAAAGACCCTGATGCTGGGAAAGATTGAAGGCGGGAGGAGAAGGGGACAACAGAGGATGAGATGGTTGGATGGCATCACCAAATCGATGGACATGAGTTTGAGTAAACTCCAGGAACTGGTGATGGACAGGGAGGCCTGGAGTGCTGCAGTCCATGGGGTTGCAGAGTCAGACACAACCGAGTGACTGAACTAAAACACACCACACTGTTAAAAAATCTTTTATATTTACCTACATAGTAACCACTTACATTGCACTTCATTTTGTATTGATTAATACTGCCATCACTTGTCATTCTCCTTCTGCTTGAACGAACGTTTCTTGTAACACAGTTCTCTGGAGCTCCTCCTCTGGTACTCACTCTGCCCTGCCTGCTTCCCATGAGGCTTCCCCCAAATCTATCAGTATTTCCTTGATTCAGAGTGGTCCCTGGGTTCCCTTCCCTGCATAGCAGCCTAAAAACTCTCTCAGGCAGTAAGCTGGAACAACCATCAGGCACAGTCTGTTCATTTCCCTTTTTTTAGGGTCCACTGACCTTTGTGGCCTGGTTCCTGTTATCTTCAAAGGCATTTTCCCCCACATATTTTACCTGTTTTTCTTTTTTTTTTTTTTCAGTTCTATCAGATGGGAGGGGAAATTTAGTCCTTGTTACTCCTAGTGGAAGTTCACCACAGGAAAAAAAAAAAACCTACAGCCATATATCCTAACAAGAATCAACCTTAAGAATATGTTAAATCACAGAGTTACAGAATACATATAGTATCAATAATTCTATTTTAGTGAAGTTCAGAAACATGGAGATAAAAGCAAGTTAATGAAAAACTAAAGATTAAAGATAGTGGTTATCACTGGGAGTGAGGAATACATAATTTTTAAAATGTTTATTATATTATCTGCAAAGACCCATGGACTTGATTCTGTAACCAAAAAGTGTCTGAGATGGCTTCTAAACACTTTGAGCCTTCCCCAAGTAAAAATCTTTTTCAAAGAACTTAGAATAAATCCCATGACTTATCTATTTTTCTACCTGCATTTTTCACACTGTACAATGATTTCCATTAAGGTATGAATTCAACATAGGAAAATATAAGCTTTTTTAAAAACAGAAAAAAATGTATCCAAGTACATGTATGGCTTATAGTAGAAGCCAGTAGTGCCTGTGAAATGTTTTAACAAAAAAATACACGTGAGTATAGGGTCGTGCATCATGACAAACTTCCTATTGCAGGCTGTAGTCTTAAATGTTTGTGGAGTTTTTCACTGTAAACAATCTATAATTTTTGCACAGACTCATCTCAAGACGGAGACGTTCTAATACTTTATACAAACAGCTCTTATCTGAAGCAGATACTTGGTATTTTTTATACTGATTGTGAAAAAGCATTTCTGCTATTATTTAGACATTCAGAAAAACAATAATACTGGATTAAGAGCAAGAACTGCAGACGAACTACCTAAGTGTAAATCATGGCTTTGCCACTTCTTAACTACATAGCTTTAAGCAAGTGTTTAACTCTTCTATGCCTTAATTTTCTCATCTATGAAATGGAGATAATGTTAAAACTTACTTAATACAGTTGTTCTGAATTAGATGAGTTTCTAGTGACAAACCACCTAATCGGCCTTGGCACACAACAGGAACAAAAACAATTACCTTCAGTACTGTTCAAGTTGCAGCATCTCACTGACAATATGGAATCTGTGGCAACCAGTAGTTTAGTACCTTCATATGACTATCTACTTGGCAGCAAAGGGACCACAAGAAATCAATAATTAAAGAACACTATGAAGTGTGACAGCAAACGATGAGCATGGAGAACGCTGTGTGCAGGGAGCAGGATTGGCTCTGGCTGACTTGTCACATGTCACCTTCACAGATGTAAGATGGACTGATGCTGAATACTCTGGCCACCAGATGTAAATAAAGGGCTGACTCATTAGAAAAGACCCTGATGCTGCAAAAGATTGAGGGACAACAGAGGATGAGATGGTTGGATGGCATCACCAAATCAATGGACATGAATTTGAGCAAACTCTGGGATAGTGAGGGACAGGGAAGCCTAGCATGCTGCAGTCCACGGGGTCACAAAGAGCTGGACACAACTGAACAAGCTATCACTATATCACTTTTAGACAAAACACAGATTAACAGATCTATCATCTCATAGCACAAAATAAAGTGGTCAGAGAGGTGAGACTGTTCAGAAGGTAGACATCATCAAGGTGTGATCTAAAGGTGGGAAGGAATGGTTAGTGTGTATCAAGTTATTAGAAGGATCTGGGAAGACTGTCTCCATACTGAGATAATTGTACTGACACAGTCTATCTGATGAAACTACTTTGGATTACTAGTCTATTCAAAGGTTTTCGACTCCCAGGAGAAGACCTAAAATGTCGTTAATTTCAGTC